TTGAAAATTTATATTTTGCATCGATCGATAAGTTTTATAAATCACCTCGACCTAAATCTGTTTGTTTGAAGGTATGTTTTGTCTAGTTTACGCCAGATAGCAGAAACATCTTTCCGGCACAAGCAGGAACAAGATATTAAAATGTTAGTAAAAAATTCCATAAATAAATGTCCTGTTTATTTTGTAGTAAATAAAAAGGTCTTTTTAGTAAATAAAACAATTTCTAAAAGAAAATACCCGTACTTGGAAATAAAAGTTTAGAAGTTTCAAACAACAGGCATTAGTTCAAAAGTGCTTTTTGTGGGTCCATTTGCCATCATCATCTTTTGAACTGCCGCCACTCGACCGTAAACTGGCAGCGTGTAAAACGGCTCTTAAGGAGAAGGGGCAAACTGCGAAAACAAATCGCTCAACAACTTTTTTTAAAAGCTCCACTTTGATGCCGCTTTCTTGTGACAAATTGATCTGTTCTGTCTATTGTTAACACAATTTTTTATCAAGTAAGATTTTAAAAAGATTGTCCGCACTGGNTAACAACTTTTTTTAAAAGCTCCACTTTGATGCCGCTTTCTTGTGACAAATTGATCTGTTATGTCTATTTTTAACACAATTTTTTATCAAGTAAGATTTTAAAAAGATTGTCCGCACTGGAGCTAGAGTAGAGTAGAGTGTGCGGCGCCGTCCACCGGGCTCTGCAATAAAAAACAAAAGCGGGGCAGCTCTGCACACCTTGTGCTTTCACTTATCAGCCGCTACACTTTCTACAGACGAACTGAGCACGCGTGTTGATTTTACACCATCGCCTGGCGGCTGTAAAAAAGGCTGGACCAGACAGTCTCGAAGTGCTGTTTCTGCATGACGCCTTTCTGGACTGCCGTAGCCAGTGGAGTGGTAGAGTGCAGTGCGAGCGAGAGTGCATGCAGCGGCCTGCCCCTGAACCTCCTGTCGTCAGCAAACGCATCTCCCCGCCGTTGAGAGGGAATTTACGGAGACAGCTTTCACATAGACGACCACACGGAGAGACACGCCAGCTGAAAGTGAGCAGATCCACCAGCACCACCACCAGCGGCGGCAGCAGCAGCAGATCTGGTTGAGTTCGGGTTTCACAGCTCTCACATCATCATCATCATCATCGAAGCCAGTGTGTGCCTCCTGCCGTCTGATCTCCGCCAACTCATCAGTCTTTCATAAACCGCAATCATGCTAATCAAAGAATTGTAAGTTCACTCTCTAACTGGCGGCCCTTTTAATAATGTATTTATTTTGTTGCTCTCTTCTTGCCTGAAGCCGAGTCGTTCTTCCATTGACAGTAGAAGAGGTAACCAGCAATGAAATGCATCCTGTTTGTGTATCAATTACTAACAACTGAACATTATTGCACACAGTACCAAATTGGACAACTATGGAGTGTGGCTGAAGCTTCCAAAAATGAAACCGGCGGCGGTGAAGGCGTCGAAGTGGTTGTAAACCAGCCATTTGAGAACTTCCCTCTGCTTGGTGGTCAGTTCAGCAAAGGCCAGTACACCAAGAAAATCTACCACCTCGACACCAAAGTCCCAGCACTAGTTCGCCTGGTAACGCCGAAGGGTGCCCTTGCAGTTCATGAAGAAGCGTGGAACGCCTATCCATACTGCAAAACTGTTATCACGGTAACAACCACTTTTGACAGAGGAATCAGCAGTTCATTCATCTCACACTGTGTGTATCCATTTCACTTGACAGAATCCTGACTACATGAAGGATGGATTCAAGCTGACCATTGAAACTGTGCACGCGCCTGATCGTGGAACTCAGGAGAACGTTCATCAACTGCCACCGGAGCAACTGAAGCAGCGCGAAGTCATTTGGATTGACATTGCCAACGATCCTAGTCCTGTAAGATTTGACCACTGGTTTTTCTTTCTATATCATGTAAAATCTGATGTTTTCAGGAATTTAAGCAAGATGAAGATCCAAAGGTTTTCAAGTCATGCAAAACTGGAAGAGGACCACTAGTTGGAGATTGGAAAGTAAGGGTTTCTCTTTACATGATCTTGCAGCTTAACGGATTCTCATATATTTGCGTTTTATAGACTAATATTGAGCCAGTCATGTGCGCCTACAAGCTCGTCACTATCGAGTTCAAGTGGTTCGGTTTTCAAAACAAAGTTGAGAGTTTTGTCCAGAAGGTACGCATTTGTCTGTGAATAAGATTGAAATTGTCCTAATCTCCTGCACATGATTTGCTGTCCACTCTACTAAACAGTTTGAAAGAAAACTTTTCACCAACTTTCACCGCCAAGTTTTCTGTTGGATGGACAAATGGCACGGGTTGACGATGCAAGACATCAGGGAGCTGGAGGAGCAGACCAGGCAGCTACTCGACGAGGTAAGGCGAAGATCTGTAGTTGTACATGGCAGCAATAGCCGATTTTAGGAGTTGGCGCCAGCGAAGCGCGCCAGTAAAGTAAACCATCTCTACTATACTCATTTTCTAAATTGCAGCAACGAAAATCGGGCCAAAAGCAAGGTGTCAAAACCTTAGAGTAAAGGAAATGTGTGAATCTAGGCGCTTCCAGTAAAACTGCAACTGCATCACCGATAGACGTCTGGGTTTATTTATTACGTCAACAATTTGTTTGTTTTTACTTGTTATTAAATGATCATTATTCCTATACTTTTTGTCTTTCCCTTGGCAGTGTCATCTTTCCCTTGTCATTTTAGGCCTACTTTCCTTGCAATTGCTCTATACCACTCTCCAAATATCTCTCTCTCTCCCTAGGACATGAACCAATTGACTTTCATGCCATTTCCTCATACCTTTTTTCTTTATTTCTTGTTAACTGGTGTACTTTTTCCTTTTCTTTATCTTCTTTATGATTATTAAATGTGTTTCCTTGATGATTGACGCTGCTGAACCTGTTTGCTCACCCATTTTTAATTTTATNCCTAGGACATGAACCAATTGACTTTCATGCCATTTCCTCATACCTTTTTCTTTATTTCTTGTTAACTGGTGTACTTTTTCCTTTTCTTTATCTTCTTTATGATTATTAAATGTGTTTCCTTGATGATTGACGCTGCTGAACCTGTTTGCTCACCCATTTTTAATTTTACCTTTTTCACTCCAATCGATGCCTGAATAACGCACAGCGTACAAACAGCCTTTGGCGGTGCGCCGGCGCCGTCTGTTACAGCATGCAAAACACACTGCTGACGCAAAACACATGTAATCGCCGGTACACACAAATGAAACAAAACAAATGCTTGTTTACTGCCAAACGTAACAATGAACCGAATTCTCACCAGATTTCAGGTGCTCCACTCATTTCGCCAGGCGAAATCATTGGCTGGGCTAATTGGGCCGNTTTTTTCACTCCAATTGATGCCTGAATAACGCACAGCGTACAAACAGCCTTTGGCGGTGCGCCGGCGCCGTCTGTTACAGCATGCAAAACACACTGCTGACGCAAAACACATGTAATCGCCGGTACACACAAATGAAACAAAACAAATGCTTGTTTACTGCCAAACGTAACAATGAACCGAATTCTCACCAGATTTCAGGTGCTCCACTCATTTCGCCAGGCGAAATCATTGGCTGGGCTAATTGGGCCAAGCACCAGGCACCTTTCATTGCGAGTGCCACCTTCATCACCGTCAAAGTATAATCTGCTGTCAGTTGCTGGTCAGTGCTGATGTATTTACTTTTTGCTAATTTTGTTTCTTTAGTTTCAGAAATACAGCTCCAAGCAAAAGATTAAGCTATAATCAGTATGTACAAATGCGTTTCAGATTTGCCGCTACCGCCACTGGCCTGACTGACTCAGAACGCCTACTAATTGATTCTATCAAACGGCGTTCGCCAAAGTTGAAAAAATCTCATGCTCACTTGGAAGTTGAGGGCCTCTCGGAAAGGCCAGTGGTCGCATTGAGTACCGCTGAAGAGTACAACTTGGAGACAATCGGAAACGCAATTGCCAAGCAAGGGCTCTATCACCCGGTGCCTAATGACGGAAATGATTTTAATGATGAAGACATCCTTCATCTTACTGCAAAGTACAAAACAGATGATAAGAAGCGAGAATTTTTCATCTTCAGAGAAGGCTCGATTGTGTTCTGGAACATGACTTCAACTGAGGCAAGTGTGATAGGTTTTAGAGTTAAAAAATTAATTGACAGTTGTTATCTTTAGTGCGAACTTGTTTTAAAATTTTTAAAAGATTACGAAATCAACTCCTACGATCACGAGATAGTCAACGAAGAAAGAGAAGAGATTGATGTTGTTTACACAAACAAGTAGGCTTTTGCAACTTCTTTTTGTTTTCCATTTCTAACTTTAAGTTTGGTTACAGCTCCAAGTCCAGGCTGCAAAAAGGCCTCATTTATTTAAACATTGAGAATGATACTAACGTTGTTCATTTGGAAAAATATGCCTTCTCTAATGCCATTGCACTCTCAGGTTTGTTGTCCGCTGTTTTGGTGTGTTTCTATTTTCAATAATCAATCGACTTTTACTTACAAATAATAATTAAAGTCAAGTTATCTATTTGGGAAGCCAATTTGGATCGATATATCGACAGCATTGCCTACATTACTCAGGTAAAACTTTATATTTGAAAAACGTAAAGTGATTTACTGATTGTCTTTTCTTCTAGGACATGAAAGATGGCCGTAAAATAAAACTGACTCGAGAGCAAGTGTTCCAAAAGACGGGTCAGTTGTTTGGCCTGCGCCACCGACTCAACCTCAGCTCAGATCTGCTCGACACGCCCGATTTTTACTGGGATCGTGAAGAACTTGAGCGACTGTTCACTGCCACCCACGCCCACCTCAACATCAACAAACGGACCAGAGTGATGAATGAGAAGCTGAACCACTGCATTGAGCTGATGGATCTACTCTCAGCGCACCTCAACGACATTCACCACGTTCGTCTTGAATGGATGATTATTGTGCTCATTATGATTGAGGTCTTCTTTGAGATCATGCACTACGTTGAACGTTTGGCCACCATGTAAACAACACTTTTTAAGGAATCACCGCATAAATAATTTGAATCGCTGATAGTTTATCTTCACAAAATGCATCTTCCTCTATGAGGAATCAAAGTGTAGGTAACACAGTACACAATTTATACAAAATTATAGAAGTTCTCTTGTGAGCCATCTCAATCTTCCTGTCTCTTCTTATTTGATGGGCGAGAATGAGTTGGGCGACATCCATCGAGAGCGCATCTCGCGGATCAACGGAACGGTGTACCCGACACATTCATCCCAACCGGGTTGTCTCCAGGCTGACTCGCGAGTCTCCTTGCGGCTAACCAGGTCTTCGTATCCTAGTGCACAAAATACATCAATGAATATGTTTTGAGCCTCTTTACCAGTGTAAAACACTCACTCCAGATGTGGTGAACCATGTAAAGCTGGCCGATTTGCGAGAAAAATCCCGCCACTGCATTGTTACGGCGGTAGTTGATGCCACGAGCCCAGTTATTGCCCCATTCAATCATTGTGCCCGGCTGTGGAGCAAGACGAAATAGGTTTTAGATGTGTTCCAGATTGAAGATACCTTCAACACATACCTTCAGAATATATGATCTCATTTCGTAGAATGAATTGTGCACTTGAGGCTCAGGGTTGGGCCAGAAGCTGAAAGAAAGCATGAACTGATTCTGGCGAGAACGAAGGAAAGGCTCCTGATCCTTGACCAGTGCATTCAGTGAAGAGTCATTTCGCTGCAGGCCCAACACTGAGGAAGCGTGCTTCCAGCCATCATAGCTCCAGATGTGCACTAGAGAAACAAGAGGTTAATTTTTAAAATACTGTCACAACACGCAGCCTACATACCGTACTGGTCTTGATCGCCGACTTCTACCTTCCAACTGCCAATTAGTTTTGCCTTTGCATCTTTGGATTGAAGTTCAGTCGACCAGTTCTTGCTGCAGTTAAATTTGTCAATCAAGCAGTTGTAGCATTCGTTTAGTAACTTACTAGTTTTCGAGGTAGTCCTGATTGTACTTTGGCTTGACATCGTGAACTGTTGTGGTGACATGTGTTTGATTAGATGCTATTCTTTGTCAAACTGACACTCTTCTTACCGTACAACTCAAACACCTTCTCAGTGTCACTGAGCAGTCTTGAGTGCGACTCTTTACCCGTATCAATCTTGCGGACCATTAACAACTTCGACAGCCAGCCTTCACTCTCTTGAAGATTTGGCGTGACAGTGAGACATCTGCTCAGAACAAGCAATATTACGTAAACACACGCCTATAAAGAGAAACAAACCACAACAAACCTGACACTCTTCAGAGTTGGTTGTTGGAACTCGTTCAGCAGTGCCGGTCCGAGGTTGCTGTTGCCGAAAGCGGTGATTCGACGAAGGAAAGCCATAACTTGCTGGGAAAGGGTCGAAGTTTAGTGAAAACAATCAGCTGACAGTTGAGGTGAAGGCGACCGTGAGAAGCGTTGACAAAGGAGATTTGGTGTGATAGGCGAATCCTGGTGCAGCGTCGACGGCCCACGAGCTTACAGGTTTTCTCGGCGTTTTGTTGTGGTGCGCGTGAGCCTTCCGAGGGGCAAGATCACTTCAAGAACACAGCTGCACTTGTGCGGCTGCACTTTAGCAGTGGTGCCATCATGTTAGCAGACGCGGATAACAGACGATAGGACGGTGATATAGCCACTGGGGATGATGATGGTGATGACGACGGCCAGAGGTGACAATTGGAGCAGAAGTGGCCAACTATTGGCAGATGATGATTGCCAGTTGGGCTTACTGTTTTCTGTATTACACTTGTTATCAAAAGGGATCAAATTGACCGGGCAGAATCAATAATCAATAGTCGGCACGATAGCGATCAATGAGATTCCAAGGTAGCTAATTTGACATTTTTGAAAACTCCAATTGTTATTAAAGGTTCTAATACTCGCTAATAACTCGAATAGTAACAAAGGTCATTCTTTTGAAAAGTGTTGTCAGCAGGAACTTGGTAAGATCGGTAGAATTGACTTGTAATTCTGGTCCAAAAAGTTCACCGCTATTTGTACACAAACGACAGCCAGTATTGATGCAAAATACGAGTTTGCAGCAAACGACTTGCACCCGTGACCTCATCAAGTTTGTACCGGAATAGCTGAATACTCCCTAGCCCTGATTACCAGACGCCCACAACACCAGCCAGTGCCAAATGACATCGACCTTCGAGAATGGCGAGGGCGATAAGCTCGACTACGTGACACTCTTCCAAACACTGGACAACATTCAGATTTTACTTCCTGAACTGGGCAACCGGTATGCTTTGCAGGCGTACTTTTACTTCCATGAAATTCAGTTTCTGCTTGACCAGCGCACAAATGCTGAAGACATGTCACCGGATGGAGTTCTTCCATTCATTCGTCACGGAAACGATATCATCTCCGGTTACAGTAAGATTATTGAGTACGTCAACGATAAGAACAACATTGTGTACAACACTCAGAGTAGACTTGACATGGCTGCTCTGATGACGCTGGTCGACGAAGTGGTCATCAAATCTGAACTGTACTACACCTGGCTGTGCAAAGACATCTACGAACAGTTCACAAAGTCACACTTTTCCAATGGCAAGCCATGGCCATTGAGTCTCTTCTTGTGCTGGTCCAAGAAGTGGGACGTTGCCTCGGTGAGTGCCCACTGTTTTGACACCCAGCTTTAGCACCCATTAACGCATGTTTGTTGTTTTATTCCAGAAACTCTCGGACACAAAAAATATTGACACAGACTTTGAAAATTTGTGCTCAGATATATCTGGTCGCTTGTCCGGTGACAAGAAGTACATTCTCGGGGACCATCCCAGCGAACTGGACACGCTCATTTACGGGCACATCAAGGCAATCTACAAGTACCGGGACAACTACAAGAATCTATATGGAATCATTGAAAAGTTTCCCAATCTGATAACCTTCATGAGCCGGATTGATGACATGCTGCCCAAGTAAAGTTACCTTTTACATGTAGTTTTTGTTACTCAAAACATTTGTATAAACATTTGAATTTATTATTAAAAAGTTTATTATATGTGCTAACACAGTTGTAATGTAGTCAAAAGTCAGTTTGAATTTTTGGCACACTCAGTCTCGAGCAAACTAATCAACTCGCCGTATTTGATCTTCATGCCTTGCCTAATGTTGAACTTCATGCCCTTTGGCGCTTCAAAGATGAGCACTATTGTCGAGCCAAGATTAAACTCACCAAACGGCTCTCCTTTTCTTAATTGCACACTGCCGAGATGCTTGTCTTCGTAAATGCCCGACTTTAAGCTCATTTGGGTTTGATTAGTTTTAAGCTCCTGCAATGTAGTAGTTGATTAGAACAAAGACTGCAAAACTAGACACCGTCAGAGAACAGAGAAACATACATCATCAAAGTAGATTCTCATCGAGCCGACATTTGTTGCGCCCACCGGGGCCATCGAGAAGAAGCCGTACTTCCAGTTGCCCACATAGGCCACTCTTTCGTTGACTGAGAAAACGTTAGGGAACCACGACACAAATGCCGGCCTCACCGAGTACAGTTTGCCTGGAAAGTGACGGCGAAAGTTGACCGTCCAGTTAGTGGGACTGTGGAACTTGTGGTAGTCGCCAGGTGCCAGGTACACAGTACAGTAGTACAAGTCGGTGGGAGTGGCACTGGCCGAGCTGCTTGACTGGTAGTGGTGCAGTAGTGATTTCTGGTAGTCCAGATTGGGGTTGCCTTCTCCGTTCTCCGGACTACTGGACCATGTGTTGGGCCCAAGGAACGATTCAATTGTGTAGGTAATGCCCTTCACTTGTTCTAAGAATCCTTCTTTTGCAGAGCCCAAGTGGAGAATAGTCCCATCAGACGGAGAGACTACATCGCTATCACTGCCGTGAATTGGCCGCACGCCTGGTTTAAGAGATCTCCGGAAAAATTCTCCCAAGTTACGATACTGTCTCAAGTCGTCAATGTACGCTTCGTCGAGGTTGCAGCCAAAGGTGCTAGCATAAGATTTCAAAACTGGTGTGCGTAATACCGTTGGCAAATTGATTGAATTAATCCACCCCCACAGTCGTGATAGAGTACGCAACGGAAGCATTTTGTACATTGAAACCTAGGAAAAATAAACGGTTACCAAATGATAAATGAAATAAAATTACTAACCTCCAAATGAGAAGGTTTGTAAACTTCCAAATCTTCAACTTCAGCCTCATTCTCTGTTTTACTTTGGATGTTCTTGATGCGATACTTGCGAAGCTGTGCTAGGGCAACAAAAGTTGCAGCAAACGTCAGCGGTACATGAAACCATCGAATTCGAGTAATGAAAAGAGTTATTCGGCTTGAACTGAGAGCGCCTGGGTTGCTCCAGCGTGATGGACTTGATGCATTACTGGTGAAGGTTCGTGACACTAGTTGAATGATTGGTAAAACAAGAGGTTATAAAAAATGAAAAGGCAGAAAATAGATTACCTTGAATAAGATGCAGTATCTTGACCATGTTTGTGCGGATTTTGTGCGTAAATATACAGGATAGTTCTGTTAGAAAGAAAAACGTTATTTGAAGATTAGCAAAAATGTTAGCAAAACAATGGACAATTTTCTCGAGCAAAATGTTCATTGTTTGTAAAACTTTTACAAAAAAGGCAACAGAATAAAACTAGTAAATTGGTCTACAGAAAAGGGTGTATTAAAGCAGAGTAAATGGTGATGGAATCTACACTGTATGCATAATTTCCTTTCTATCAATCGACATCTGCCTTGCGTAACAGTGATATTTCTCGAGTCACACTAAAGTGGTATTATAAAATTGGTTGCGCATATTTAAAGGTAAGAAAGATTGTAAAATTATACTCACGTGCGTCTTAGAACATGAGCAAGATTGGTTACAATCTGACATTTGTTGTGCGAAGAGACTTGGAAAAGTCAAATGGTGATATTGACCAGTTTTTTCGGTTGTTGTAGTTAACTGTTCCTGTTGGCCAATAGAAGGTATGTGCTAGAGAAAACAAAACGTCAGTAAACTAACGCAGTGGTTATCATGGCTTTCAAGTTTACCGTTGTTGATCCTTGAGCATCGATAGCACTGCGTTGCATCACATGTTTGAAAAAAAATCTGGTCAGAGCAACATCTGCGGACGGTAGAGCACTCAGGCGGTATCAGAGGCATCATATCGAAGGTGGGGCCTTACTTGTTCAGCTGTGATTTGCCGGCAAGCTGAGAACCAAATAAGCTCTGCCCATTATCAGCATTTTTGCTCAAGTCGAACGACTCTACTTGGCACCATCTGGCGCCCAGCTGTGCAGCTTTGCATCTGCTCGCTGGTTTTGGGTCGTCGGCCACCGTAAGCTGTCCCCCTCACTGCACTGAGTTTGTGGTACTGGGAGAGTAGCGCAGTTACGCTGGTCGTCGACCCGAAATGGGTGCTCTATTACTGAATACGCGCAGTGAATATGCGGTTTAAACAGGCGCCACTGTTTACGAGTCGGACTCGGCTGAGGCAACTTTATACTTCTTGCAAAGCTCCCAATCTTTTCTTTCCCTCTTTCGCCCACCTCTTGGTATCAAGATTGTCAAACTCTCGCCATTAGTCAGATTGTACTGAGTTTTCACAGATAAGTTCCTGCAAGTGATACACTATGGCCGCAACAAGACGCTTACAAAAGGTATGCTCATCCAGTGCGTCACAGCTGCAATGACTCAAATGACGTTTGTTGTTATTCTTTCAGGAACTTCAAGAACTTAAGAGTTCCGGCTTGCGCTGCTTCCGAGATATTCAGGTGGACGAACACAACATTCTTTCGTGGATTGGCGTCATCGTACCGGTAAGAGGCTACTTGCATGTGCATCCTTGCCATTGGGACTGCGTCACTCATTGTCTTCTCATTGTCTTCTCAGGATAATCCACCATACAACAGAGGAGCTTTCCGCATTGAGATCAATTTCCCTGCGGAATATCCTTTCAAACCGCCCAAAATTACGTTCAAGACTAAAATTTACCACCCCAATATTGATGAAAAGGGTCAAATTTGCCTTCCCATTATTCAAGCAGAAAACTGGAAGCCCGCAACCCGGACTGATCAAGGTTTGTTTTGCTTCTATTTATTAACTTGCAGTTTTTACCTTACGGTTTAATTACGCTTGCAGTGATTCAAGCGCTTATTGCTCTAGTCAATGATCCAGAACCTGAGCATCCACTGCGCACCGATCTTGCTGAGGAGTACTGCAAAGACCGAAAAAAGTTCTTCAAAAACGCTGAAGAGCACACTAAAAAGTTCTCAGAGAAAAGGCCGATCGACTGATTGGCCACAATCCACAAAAGCCAGGGATTCTTCCTTCCTTACTTTCTTTCCCCCTTCATGTCCTTTTCTGACCCTCGGCGGAAAAAATAACATTGCTGCTATCTCGAGAACGATACTTTCTCTGCAATCGATTTACTTATATACATTATTTTCATATCTGCAACACTTAACAACAACTTTATACTTTGTCTCTCCTCCGGGTAGTTCATCAAATTCTTGATAATAGAACTAGGATCCTTCTAAAAGTGACTTATATTTTATAATACGGTGATGCAACGCTGCGTCGATGATTCTTCTCTCCTCTAACCACCTGCTAGGACTCTGTTATTATTTTAAAAACTGGAAACAAAACTTTACCAAACAACACAGTTAACACATGGAATGAATTGTAACTACACGAATTCTGTTGAAAGACGGAAATGGCGCTTGAACAACGTTGTTGCCCTCTCTAAAACACTCTGATGCCTGTATTATAAACTCACACTTTCAATTGAGCANTGATAATAGAACTAGGATCCTTCTAAAAGTGACTTATATTTTATAATACGGTGATGCAACGCTGCGTCGATGATTCTTCTCTCCTCTAACCACCTGCTAGGACTCTGTTATTATTTTAAAAACTGGAAACAAAACTTTACCAAACAACACAGTTAACACATGGAATGAATTGTAACTACACGAATTCTGTTGAAAGACGGAAATGGCGCTTGAACAACGTTGTTGCCCTCTCTAAAACACTCTGATGCCTGTATTATAAACTCACACTTTCAATTGAGCAAAATTAAAACCCCTGTGCAAAGATGATTTGACTGTTGACTGCTGTCTCTTCTGCTTCCACTGGTTGGAGCGGATGACTGTGGTAGATGCCTGATGGTAGATGGCACCCGATCCAAGATTGTATGAACCTTTATGTGAAGCACTCTTAAAGTTCAGAGAGAGTCCAAAGTGATTTGGAGCGATTTAGTCGGATGTTGGTGAAATTTAAAAAATGACAATCATTTCTCGCGTCCAGTCTTTGCTTCAGTTCTGCATTTAGTTTTCTCGATGAAGAGTGCTGTTTGGTCTGGTCACCGAAGGAGAAGTGTTCATTTTCGAAGCTATCGCATAACACTCGATCACCGCCCATAGCTGGGGCGGGCGAGTGGAAGCTAGTGCATCGGCGGTGTGAGAGGCATTCTCGTTTCTCCATTCGCAGTTGGTCCACTACTGTTGGTCAGCGGACTTTGGGAAGCGGCAATTAAGCACTTATTTACGATGCACCTCGGCGCTCACTTTACTGGCAGCTCACTTTTGCTGCTGCTGCTGGCACCATCTCCGCTGTCCAGGGCGCCAGTCTAATTGTAATTTACGATAGAGTAGTGCATGCACAGACACTCAGTCTGTCCTCTGCTCCAATTGACAATATCAAATGTCAGACAGCAGCAGCTGCTCTGCACTTCGGAGCTCTCTTTTTCTCATTCTCTCTTTCTCTCTCTCTTTTATCAGTAGCTCCTCACTAGGCAACTTCAGTCGACAGAACCTCTCTTTCTCTTGCCATCTACGCAGCATCGAAGCCGCTAATTGTCGTCAGCCTTTTTAGTCCTCTTTACCCCATTGTTTCCGCTTCCGTTTCATTTTTGCCTGCTAGCCTTTCCCCTTCTTAGCCCTTTTCCCTCTTCTCCCTCTCGCACATCACAAGCTGGTGTCTTATTTCCGCAGCAAATATGCTCTTCTTTCTTACTTCTTGCTTCTCTTTTATGAAAGCACTCAGGGAGCACATTGATCAGTTCATCACTTGTGTGCACTTTTGCCCCTCTTGTCGACTCGATCTCTCCTCTCTAATTAGCCACTTTGTATTTCATTCAGGCATCTTTACATTTTTGCAAACTTTGTCAAGTACTATTTAGAGGTACTCTTTAGACAATGTCATTGCCGTTGTGCTAATTAACTCGTTAGATGATACCCTTTAAAATCATCGCCAATATAACACTTTAGCAGCATCACCAAGGTGCAGGGTAAGGTGGCAGTGACACGACCTCTTTAGGGTCGACACTTGGCTGGCCGAAAAATATCTAAAAAGTCACGCACTTGTTTCGAATTGCTCTCTCTCTCTCTCTCTCTCTCTCTCTCTCTCTCTCTCTCTCTCTCTCNCTATCAACCTAGTCACTCGCAACTTTCTCTTTGAGATCATAATGGTGTTTGCTTCCTACTCACCCGCCGTTTCGACTTTGAATTGCGCTGAATGTGCTACTGCAGAGACAGCGAACACTCCTCTGGTGGAGCTGCAGACACAACAATTTCAGATGAAGTATTCCAAACTAGCGCATACCAGTCAGTTCAATGTACACTGTAGCTAAGCTTTGAGTGAATGCCATTACATCGCTAAAAGTTTTGATCTGACTCACTTCGTTAGTCTGAGTGCCCTTCTCTTGCCGGTGGTGAACAGAGCAGTTGATTTGGCAGGTGTAAACGCAAAACACCCACTTTTTTACATTACACAAATATTCTACATCTGTACTTTTTTAATTTGTGTTTTAAAGTGTTTTCTTTTTAAAGTGATAAACAAGAAACTTCAATTTGAAGCAGCGATGAGTGGTAAAGATCGACAAAAGTTTGACTTTTATTGCGGCTTTATTGATAAGCTTTTTAAGCAAATCAATGAAATGAGCAAGTGGGATGAGCCATTTTTGAAGAACAATCTTGGCAAAGTAGATCATGCTCTGATTGAAATTAAGCAATTGGATCTGTTTTTTGAAAAGTTTGAAGATTTTATGATTTATAAAGGCAGGTTTCACTCGGTGTCTATTTAGATCTAATATAATTTTTCTGCAAATTACCCTTACATTTTCTAACCTGCAGACAAAGGCGTGCAAATTCAGGACAAAATTAAATCTCTGGTTGAAAACATGAGTCCAGTTGCAAAAATGCCTGAAACCAAAGTTGAAAACAAGTCATCACCAGCACCGGTAGGCAAAGAAGCAAAGAGCATCGACAAATCAATTAAAACGGAGATTGATTACGCAAAAATTCCTATATCGCATTATAAACGATTGATTGAAGGTGATTTTGGTGAGTTGAGTGAGTTTTATTGTTTTGAGTTTTTGATGATTTAGTTTCTAATGACTTTCATTTTATTGCTAGATTTTAATGAACCAATCAAAAAATCCAAAACTTTCTCTAAAGCTGTATCTGAATCAAGTAACAATTTGGCACCAAAACCAAATTTTCAAGCAGTTTCTGCAAAGGTTTTGAACCAAAATAACATCGTGCCGAACTCAGTGAAAGAACCAGCTAAACCAAATGTAAATGTATATAAAAGTTATTTCTTTAATTAACTTTTGTTATTTATTTACAGGTTTCGGATAAAGTAGAGCAAGAGTTTATCAGTGCTAGCAAACCTAAAGTTTCATCAAATGATTTTCGCTACTCTTCTGTTTCTAATTCTACTGTATCGACAAAGGTGCGTTTTTGCCCTGCTTGTAGGCAAACAATGCCTCAGCAAAATCGAAATCCAAATGGTCAAAGTCCAGAGAACCACAAGGAAAGGAACTTTTCTTCGTTTCGAGGAAGGAGACCTTATTACAACCGAGGAAGAGGAAGTTACATTAACCATGGACGTTTTAATCGTTGAATGATCGCTCTCACAAACAAATAGTAATTTATCAACAACGTTTGCCAACACGTATCATTTCAATGTATTTTCTTAAACTATGAAGTTATCTGCAACATTTTTATTGATTTCATTGTTCTGCTCACTGTCATTCCAATCAACAATACATTTTAATTAAAAATATATTTGTAGTTGCATTTTTAAATTGTTTCATTTGTCAATGCTACTCTACAAATTGATAATTTATGGTACCATAATGCTAAAAAATGACATGTCAACAAGCTTAACGATACATCTGGCACATTTGTGATCGTCTACTGAAACTGCCACACTGGTGTTCAGGTACGTTTGGGTGCTGAAAATGCCGGTGTTCTGCTGTCTGGCTGGTGCATGACTGCTACAAAAACAAGTTGAGATGTACCACAATGGGCGTGTTGTCAAATCCACGGAAAGTTGTTCACCGAGTATATGCAGACGACAGATCGGTCGGTCTTTGTCATTGGCATCACCAAGCACCGTTAGACGATCACTGGGCACCATATGAAAATGAGATGAAAAATGGCTGCGCGATTAATCATGAAATGAAAGCTAGAAGAAGGGTAAAAGGGAGAGAGACAGGGCCTGGCATTGCCAGTAAAGCCAATCGATGATTATTGCTAGCGGTGGGCATTGTTCCACTGAGTCGACCTATTAGTCTGCATGCTAGTGCTGTGTCCTCTCTGTCCTTTCCTTCCTGTCTGTTCCACTGCACAAGCGACAGCAGCTTGGACTGGCTTGTCAGCTCATTTGTTCATTAAGCGTTGATTAATTTGTTAGCGAGCCTTTCAATTTTGAATGCCACGCAGTGTTTGAATAATTCCACTGTTTGCCTGTCCTGGAATGTTTTCTCCGCCACAACTAAATGGTCGCCTTCATTTACTCCATTTTCTAGGTTCTTTTTCTTTTTTCCCTTCTTGTGGTCTCAGCTCTGTCAATGCATATTATTACGTTTATTAATATGGACTAGCCTCACTGTGAATAATTTGTGCAAATTGTGCCAAATTGCTCTGCCCAGTGCCAATATCCCCATTTCAACATCTGACAGTTTAGGTTTTTTTGGGCAAACAGTATTTCTAACCTTGGCAAATCACCAGCAAATTCACTACCAATATCGTTTCACTTGGTGTCAATTTTAGATCTACTAGCATTTGTTCTGCCAATTACCATTAAATTTCCTTACTTAATTGACCTGAGCAGTCATTTGTTGCCCTGTCCTTCCACTTCAGTAATGGTCACTTTAAACACCTTTCAGCAAATTAGAGTCTACCGGTGCAACCCAAGTTAGAAGTACATTGTTGGTGCATAGAAAGTGAAGTGTTGTCTTATTTGCCCAACATCAGTCTATAGACCACAAACTCAATTAGTGGAGAGT